AGTGGTGCATAACACCAGCGTAGTGCTATATACCCATTTGAATGAAATTTTTTGCAAAGGCAGGTCTTGTATGATATTTTGTCTGCAAGGCAGCATGGAAAAAAAAAGCCAGTCTAAGCAATCATAAATAAGGGAGGGCACACTGAATATTAGACTGTTAACATAATAGAAAGTAGGTTTGGACGTAAAAGACATACGTCCATGGTGCTACCGCAAACCTTCTTTCTATTATACCTCTTCACCATGCAAACCTTCAAGACTTATAGACATGTCAAATCGTGGAAATCAAGTCAAAAATGTTCAACAAAGGTACCAAACACACATTGAAAATAAACTTAAGCTACCATAATTGATTGGTTTAAGTTTGGTTTTCCTTCAGATTAATGCATTTTCTATGGGTGGTCCTAAACTTTTGCAAATGACTGTAAATGCAAACAAATCTAAGATCTTAATCCCAACAACTTGAAAAGTATTTTTGTTGCAAAGTCATCAGACAGAATCACAAACTCATCACTGTGACAGAAAAATGTAACACCTAACCTTCCATTCCAGGTCTTCTGTGAAGATTTCTCGCTTGGCAACATCCACTCTGTTCCACATCTGAGCAAGCTGCAACTGGTCTTGAACCTGGCCCTTGTTGGCTGGTAAGCACAAATTCAGTACAACTATCATCAATGTCAACCCACAAAAAAACTAAATTTGGCAAAAAGTAACACTCAACAGGACAGAACATACTTTTTTGATGTGTCGAGGTTGGCAAGAAATTGCTGTGTACATTTTCACGAAGCCTTGCTGTCGAGGACAAAGAATGGTTTCGATCGGCAAAAAGCACGGGAATTACAAGAGCTGGGAAGAATTCATTCGCCGTTCTTTGATTTGTAATGGCATACACAAAAAGTAAAATGTGAGAAATCAGCACACCTGACTAGAAACAGTGGCTGAGAAGGTGCCGAGTATTAATGGCATTTACCTGTCAGGAGGGCGTGCAGTATGGCACTGTCAATGTCGCCCGAGCCAAGCTCGTAGACTATGACCAGATGTCTTCTCAGCAATATCTCCTTGATGCGCGTCAGGTGAATGTCTAGTTCCTTCTCCCCAAACTCCTTGCAGAGCATGTTGGCGAGGCGAACCAAGAGGGAATCGCTGATGATTGTCTTTTTCCTGGAGGAAAGGTGTCGACAGAGGAAGGGAGCTGGCTTTGCTAGTTTTGTCTGTTTAACTCATGTGCAGATTTTATTACTTTGGCCAAAAAGATTGACTTTGGAAAAAGGCAAGATACAGTGGCCAACTTTTGATATGCAGTCCAATACTTAATGAGCCATTCAGATCAATCAAAGCCGACATGTGATAAATGACATGCAGTGAAATCTGCGAAACACTCCATGGAGAAGAAACTGATTGCTAAATGCTGGAATTATTGTGTACCTTTAACGCTCCAAAAGCTTTAACATTGGCTCTCGAGTGCATGGACAGTACATGTAAGTGCATGTATGGCACATTTACACAACTAAAAACTACATGTAGGTGTCCGCCTTAAGAGTTCAACAAAATACCGGAATACCCATGGTTCATTTCATCACACACCAGAGCGAGTAACAACAAAAGAAGGCATGCTCTATCTAAAATCTCCAACAGTCTCTCCTTTGCAAAATACTTCAAGTTTTGGCAAAGCCGTGCCAAATAGAAAATCCATATCCTGAGTACATTTTACACAAAACCAGGAAATCCAAAAAACTATTGACAGCCTGACACACTGACGTTTGGCCTTGACAGACAGCCTGACAGACCAACAGGCTTTGGCTTGGTCACTCACTCTTTCCGGATGTTTCCCACACTGTCCTTGACCAGCTTTTCCACCTCTGGTGCCCTCTGGAAAGCAAATGCCAGAATGTCGGCGGCTCTCCCCGACCCTGCGATAATGACAGCCGGTGTGCCGTTCATGACAGCCTCGTAGACCGTAGCTATGGTGTTGGGTCCTCCCTCCACCACCACACACACTACCGGTACCGACACATCTGAGGCAACCAAAAAAGGTAGACATGTTAATTTCCAACGGGTATATTTCATTCATCTCTCAATGTCAGTATTGGCATGTTCTGCATACATGTACTTTGTAGATAAAGGTCGTTCACCGTCATGTGAAAGTAGCAGTGTGTCTAAGTTCCTCAATTCTAAAAACCTTCGGAAAAAGAGAAGGAAACCTACATTTTTGAAGGATGCAGGAAGGCTAAAAGTAACAACATTTCAAACAGTGGAAAAACATCTTCTTGCACTGTTGCATTGACCAGCATTTCTGGTTTATTCTTTTGCATGAAGCAACTCACTTGTGTTTCCATACACCTTCTGCTCAGAGATTTCCTTCTCCATCTTGGCTCGGAGTTTGATCTCCACACCGAAATTGCCCACTGTCCCATCATCTGCCAGGATGAAGTGGGTGTGGTTGGGGTCCAGGAGGACCCCCTTGCGATTCTTGGTGTCCATGCGGAAATAGGCTGGGAAACGACCCTGTTGGAAACAAAATAAAAAAAACCTGCAATTTCTTCTAATGAATAAAAAAAATTGTGAATAGTAGAGACATGCGATGAAAGTTTTGTAAGCCTTTCGTTCATTACCATAGAGAAAAAACAAAGCCTCATCCAAAAAAGAGAATTCAGAAAAAAAAACCAACTAAATATCAGGTGAAATTTCATTAGTCTGCGAACATAATTCAAGGTATAATGCACATGTACATTGTCAAACTGTAGTCTTGAAATAGTCTTTTTTCTTCAGAATACTATCGATGACTTTTATACTTTGTGTATCTGTTTAAAAGTTATAATAATAATAATACTAAGGAACATTTATATTGTGCAAATACTATACAAATATACTCAACAGCGCATAACAATACCCATCACTAGCAGAGATGAAAATCAGGTGTTGGAAAAAAGCTTCATGAAAGAGATGAGGTTTTAGAACAATCTTGAATGTGTCGAAAAATATAGCATTTCTTACATGAAAGGGCAGGTTGTTCCAAAGCCTAGGAGCAGTGCACGATCTCCAAAGTTGCCTTAGTTCTACGATAGGGATGACTAAGGATCAACCTGTCCTGTGAGCTACGAAGACTGTACCTACCGGTATGTGACTGGGATTTAGGTGTTAGTAATTCTGAGATATAACCTGGTGCAAAGCCGTGCAAAGCCTTATATGTTATCAAAAGTATGTTAAATGTAATTCTTTGTCGAATAGGCAACCAGAGTCATTTAACCAACAAAGGGAAAATGTGGCAGTATTTAGCAGAGTTACACACTAGTCTGGCACAAGCATTCCGCATTTTTTGTAGCTTTGATATCTGAGAATCGGGAAGTCCATATACCAAACCCTTACAATAGTCAACCTTACACATAATGAATGCTCGTACCAAGGTTTCAGTACAAGTCTGACTGAAGTATTTCCGAATGTGACATACATGTAGGTTATACAGAAGGTAAAATGCACCCCTACAAATATTAGTTATATGTCGATCCATATTAAGGTGGAAATCTAACTGCACACCCAGGTTTTTCACAGCTGTGGATGGCTGAACTTCAGCAGTTCCAACTGTTATGCTGTCAATATTCATCTTAGTAAGCTGCTTGGCGGTTCCGACAAGCAAAAACTCTGTTTAATTATCGTTTAGCATTAGTTTCTTACCAAGCATCCATGAGCTAATGTGAACAATACATTGTTGTAGTGTCGATAGACCTAGGGTCTGTTGATCAATAGCTGGGTTGAAGGAAATGTAAAGTTGTGTATCATCAGCATAACAGTGACAAGAGACTTGAGGATAGTGTATATTAATCATGTGTATCAGGTTACTTGTGTAAAGAGTAAAATGAATAGGACCCAAACAGGAACCTTGTGGGACACCAGATGAAATACCAAATTTTCTGGAAATTACATGTACATCACCAATGACTATCTGTTGCTGTCTGCCACTAAGATAAGACTCAATACAGTGTAGGACAGTTCCGCCAATACCAAAGTGGGTTTGCAGTGTATGCAATAAAATGTTAGGATCAAGAGTGTCAAAAGCGGCACTTAAATCTAAAAGGACGAGCAGAGTCACCTTTTGCTGGTCCATAGCCATGAGGAGATCACTCTTGATTCTCAGCAGTGCAGTTTCTGTGCTATGAAAGCGTCTGTATGCAGACTGAGTGGCAGGTAGCAACAGATTAGAATGAAGGTGTTGAGAGATTTGTTCTGCAGCAGCACTTTCAACAAGTTTAGAAATGTACTGCAGATTGCTGACGGGCCTGGAATTAACAACGTTCGGCTCAAGTCCTGGTTTCTTGAGCAGAGGACAAACTGCAGCCACTCCAGTTGGATGAAAACTCACCATTATCTCGAGACAAATTGATCATTTTTGTGAGAACAGGTATCAGGGTGTCTATGCACTCTAAAACAAGCCTTGTTGGAACAGGATAGAGAAGACATGATTTTTTGCTTGATTTTAACACAAGCTTTTTACATCACATTCAGACAATGGTTTAAACTCTGTGAGGTGTAGGCTCTCAGTATTGAACCCCCCTTGTGTAAGCTGCATATGTGTCCTTGTCAATTGGAGTCAATTCAATAGTTGAATGAATATTTACAATTTTGTCTTGAAAAAACTTGCCAAGGTCATCAACAAAATTAGATTTGACCAAGTTTGAAAGCAAGTCGAAATGCTGTGTTGACATGTTCAACAACTGTTTTGTATTAAACATTTTCTTTTGATCATTGCCCTTATCGTGTATTATGTTTGAATAATACCTGCGGCGAGCAGTGTGCATCACCAAGATTGTTTTGTTACGAGCCAGTTTATACCTTTCATGATCACAAGGCAACTTTATTTGGACCCACCGTTTTTCTGCTTTTCTCCTTTCTCTCTTTTCTTTCCTGATTTCATCAGTAATCCATGGCGCTTTCGTACATGCATTAACACGTTTCGTTATCAAAGGTGCATGCTTGTCCAAAACAGACAAAGTGTGTCACTGTACAGAGTAACTAGATCGTTTTGATTATCTGGCAAATTACCGCCGAGATTACTCTTACAAGTACAACCAAAAGACTCAATAAAGTTTCTGAATGACACTGACTCAGAATTATCATTGTCATCAATATAACATTCAAATCTCCTGTAATTACAACTGGTGTAGTACATAGAAGATTCTCCGGTAGAAAGTCGCTGAACTCGAATATAAATGAAAAAAATGAAACACAATGACTTTCAGAATATGCAGAAATTTGGTGGGGCGGACTGAAATTTTGGCATACAAAACACTGTACATGTACGTAACATGGACGCTACTTCAAGACTTTCGGTATTGAAACAAGGTTTTAGGCAGCCAGAAATGTGAGTCTGCATCATTCCATTTGCTTTTTATCAGGAGTTTTGTTCACTTACCTACAACATCAGAATGTAAACAGTTTACTTATAATAAATAATGCATTCATAGGAAAACAATTCGATTTCACCAGAGCCTGTGCAGTTCATTATTGAAATGAGATATTCTGGCCGTTCATGCAGTTCACAATGTCAAAGCGGCTGCAGTGGTGTTAAATTCAACAATGAAGTACCGCACATTGGCACCACAGTAAAGGCTTTTATTGGAAACAAATGTTGCTCAGATGTGTATATCAGCTGCCCAGATATCTTAGGTTGGAAATTGAAATAAACCCATACATTCAAGTACATGTACAATTCNACAATTTTCAAACACACTGTAAATGAAGTGGATAGCTTCCATTATTTTCAAAATAAATCCAAAACGGGCATTTACAAATTTGGGGAATAATAAGTTTTGTAATTACATTGTGTTTAGTTCTTAAAATAAAAAAAACAACTCTTGAGCCTATCAACAGCTCAGGAGTATTGGTTTTTGTTCTTGATGTCAGCCAGTGGATGAAGGTACATGTACATGTAGCTGTGCTCCTCTAGGAGCCATGTGTTAATCCGTCAAAAAAAATGAAAAAAACAAAACAAAACAAAACAAAATTCGGTTTGAATTCTTTTTAAAAATTGCATTATTTTTGGGGGAGAAATTATAAGACACAACCCTGCACTTCAAAAGCGAGTTTTGGACTAGGCCAACACTGTCATTTCCTAACCGTATGTTAGATCCTGTGTTCACCACCAGAGCCCATGACCACCTGATCACCCCAGGATATTAGGCCTAACGTAAAGGCCTAGGCCTAGTGTGTGATTCCTGTACATTTGACAAACATGATCCAAATCAATCTAAACAATTGGTTTATATTTCCTGCTAAAAACCAGTTACTTTATACCCTGTTATGTCTGTTTACAACCAAATGTAGGCATGGGGGAAGCTTCTTTTGAAGGATGCTACACTGGCCCACTTGACATGCTCGAGCTTTGTAGCTCTGTAAGCAGGCTGGTGCCACAACTCCATTTAGTGCACAAAACCCACGTGCGGTAACAAGGACACCAGATGAAAAACAGCTTTTACAGGAAATGTACTGATATATCCCAGAATAATATCCCTGTGACCTTCCCAATGTGGTATGGTAAGTGATAAATTTTTGGGCTAGAGTCATTTAATAAAGTGGGGGATAGGTAAAAATAGATGGGCACACATGTTACCTATGCAAAAAAACCATGAAGGAGACTGCGTACATATCAGACTTTTAAAATGAGTTTCTTTGCAAACACGCTGCATATTTCACAGCCTTTAAGATGTTGTTTATGAATAAAACAAGCACCAACACGTGTTTGTATTAAAAAACAAAATTACAACTGTATCGGAATGTTCCAAATAAAAGCAAATCTACTGATGCAACACGATCTACACAGTGGGACACCACACTTGTCGCTTGTATAGAATTAATGGATTGTGTTTTGTCAGTGCAGTGGTTTTGCTCAAAACAAGTAATTTTGTGTGAAAACTTTATTCAGGTCAGAGAGGCATAGATGTTATCATCTTCGTAATGCGCAATTCACTCCCGTTATTACATGTACATTTAATCCATTAAAAAGATAACACTGGATTTGGTAAAACTGTGGACACCACAGAAAAATAGCACAAATCATAAACACTCACAGTGATTTTGAAAAAAAAAATGGTGGGACGCGTAAAGAAACGCTGTAAAAATTGAGGTCCTCAGCCCGCTTTTCAGCTATTATTCTCGGCCCACGCTCAAGCGAACACGGTGAAAGAAGGCAGACCCTGGCTCTTGTGTATATGGTAATTGGTCTTTGTGTGTAGCCCTGAATTGAAAAGACCGAATTTGCATCATAATCACCAGCTTCACAATAGTCCCCACTTTGAAAAGAGGCAACGGGAATGTGGAAGCGTGAGTAGAGCCGCATGCCACCGAACAATCAGCCTTTTCACCGTGTAATTCAAAGCGTGCAGAGCACGCTGGGCCACAAACCAAGAATTTGCAGTTTGGCAGGTGGCCTTCGTGGCCAGGCAAGGCTGGAATTCTTGGAGTCGGCTTTCGGAAAGAAATTCCCGCCGAGAAGGGGTAAACTTCTCAATTTACAAATAGTTTAAAATAAAAACACCACTTCCATACTACATAAGCCAACATGAGCTTTGAATGCATAGGTATGCACAAATAAGTGAAACAGCCCAACCTGGGGCCAATTTCATAGTGCTGCTTAAGAAAAATACGTGTAAAAAACCTTGCTTGATAAATCAGGTTACCAGCCAAAACTTCTTGTGATGTGTATTGTTTTGGAATGGTATCTACCCGTCTTTTGGTGAGCATGACAATCACCCAGAGTTTGAGCTGGTAACCTTTGTTCATTAATTAAGCAAGGGTTTTTCGTGCTTAAGCAAATTTTGTGCTTAAGCAGCTCTATGAAACTGTCCCCTGATGGAATGACCAAGCGACAAATGTGAAGTGTTAATGAAACTGTTTCGCGTTTGCCTGAAGAAAGCTATACTATCATGATTAAAGTGAATACATGGGGTCAGCCGTTGATATGGTGGTCAATGCATCACAGCGACTTAACAATCTCACCTTGTCACTAATAAGCTTCTCCCGCTGGTCGATCACGCCCCACGATGCAAAGCCGATGGCTACAACATTGGATCTGCCTGTGATGCTACTGGCTAGGGAGTAGTCCTTGATAGCATCCCCGACGTACTTCATGACACCGGCGTGAGTACCGCCAGTGATGATCCAGGCACCTTGAGTGGTAAGTAACATAGGATATAAACTAGACCAACGGGATGACGATATATCAGACAACTGCTCTGGCCAAAGCTGGGAGGGTACTGTCCAGCCCTCTCTTCCAGCTAGAGAGGTGGCTACTTATCCAACACTTATGGACGTATGCCATGTATGACATACTGGTAATAAGTACCTTAGCAGCAAGCACAGCTAGCGGGGCAGCATGAAGAGAGTGTCAAACACAAAGAACTGCACAAAACATACAGTATCTATATGCACATAACGTAGTTCCGATCACTGAAGAATGTATAAATTAACCTTCATGAGATGCGATCAAGAACTGGGGCCTGAATGCATTGCTCTGTAAATCTGCAACGCTTCACAGATGTTGCCTTATAATGCACATGGTCCAAGTTTCAACAGAATTTGGTTTCCACTTAAACGTGTGGGAAAATAAGGCAATGGAATTAGACTCTTCCTCTTCGTTTCATGCTGGCTACCTGTGCTCAGAGCAGCCTTGATCAGTCCCTTCCTGAAGACGTTCTTGAGCTTGGTGTTCATGTGGAAGTTTCTGGCCCCTCCCGTGACCGAGATGAGGAGCTTGGGCGTGCCGAGGTTCCACTGAGTATTCAGCAGCTGCATCAGGCGGTTTGGGTGGATGCTGTGGTCCACTCGAATGTACTGAATGTCAGTGGGGAAAAAATAAGAGGATGGGAAATGGTAAAGAGTTGTTATTAGCAAGAGCAAACACTGGTTTCAATTCCAAAGATTAAACCCACCAAACTTTATAATGCTGAAACCTGGGGCCAATTTCATAGAGATGCTTAAGGATAAAATTTGCTTAAGCATGAAAAACCTTGCTTAAAAAAAAACCAAAGGTACCAGCTCAAACTCTGATTGTCATGCTAACCAAAAGACAGCTAAATACAATCCCAAAACAATATACATTGTACATCACATGGAGCTTTGGCTGGTTACCTGATTCGTGAAGCAAGGTTTAAGCAAATTTTGTGCTTAAGCAGCTCTGTGAAATAAGCCCCAGATCATTATTGTAAGTCTTGCCACTTGATCCTGCAGACAACTAGTGAGATATCCTATGCTATTTCACTGCTGGACTCAAGGTTGTTGGTTCAAGTCCCATCCATGTAAGGTTGTCATTCTTTAATCTCGTGGCCACAGACCCTCAGGAAGTGCTAAGTAAGTTGTGCTTCTGTGATAACATTTACAATAAAATCTTGGTACCTCAAATCTCTAGGGATTGGACAAAAAAATTGGAGTTATCCGAAATTCAAGTTAAAAGAAGGTCCCCATTTCTTTTGAAGTTAAGTCATTGTTACAATGTGTATCATAACACGTACCTATACGCTGATTCACAGTTACTGTAAATCTCACTACAATGACTTTTGAAATGACATTTTGGTTATTTTATACTTTGGTGCCACAAGTTTTTGTGCATAGAAAGACATTTTTGTGGAGGATTTTTGTTGTCAATCGCCTGATAAATAACATTACATGTACTGTAAATCATTTAAACTATGTACCTTTGTGTGGCAAATCTTTCTTTTGCGTTGTGCATGTGTGACACATTGTGGTGGTCCCATTTCTGATCCCGCACCGCAATGCAGCACCTTGCACATACGTACTCGGGCGTGGTTTCCCGATGAGTCAGACGACTTTTTTCATCACATGAGGGCGCACCTTTTTGCGCATCTTGATGCATTCATCCTGTGCCAGACCCCACTCAAGTTAAAATCTTGCTCGTGGTACACTAGCTCAAAAGGAACTCTCAAAATTTGTCACTCATAATGTCGAGCTTTTTAAAGGCCAAACTCTGTGGCACATGAAAAACAACCCACTCAACGGCTCATTCCATTGATGGAAAAACCCAGAGAGGAAAGCAGAACCAGCATCTAGTTTTGGCATTGAAAAGTCAGGCCACACTCAGTCAAAGCAGGGCCTTTGGCCTTTGTTTAATGCCTTGCTTTGAACGATGGACTTTCGTCTACCCGTCTCAGATCTGTCCTGGGCATTGTTCCCACTGAATTAACTGCAGCAGTTACCAGTGTTCAGACAAAAGTTCTTCCTTCCCAGTTAACAAAGGGAAGAAGGGCGTGTGTCTATCTATTCAGCTGTTCAGATTTTGCCAATTGTTCCATTGTGCAAGTTACCTGCACACTGACAAATGGAACTGAGGAATAACCATATAGACTGGCTTAACCACTTGCTGCCGGGTGCTTTGAAAAATGCTGTGCACATATGGGAGATTTTCAAGATTTTCAGTTTTTAAAATTCTTCAAAAATTCATCATTTCATGTGATGGACATTTACACCCACACGAATGACTGTTTGGTGGCTACTCTAAGCTGACAGGTCATCTTCATTGACTCCGGAGTATTTCAGCCAGGCCTGCTGCCCTCTAAAGAGAGCCCAGAATTGTAAGGTGTTGCGTAAGTTCCTTTGTGCCCAGTGAACGCGAATGGCATCTTTTCAAACATTGCTGGATTAGCATGNGCAGCTCTGGTGAAATAAGCCCTAGTCTTGCCACTTGATCCTGCAGACAACTAGTGAGATATCCTGTGCTATTTCACTGCTTGACTCAAGGTTGTTGGTTCAAGTCCCATCCATGTAAGGTTGTCATTCTTTAGTCTCGTGGCCACAGACCCTCAGGAAGTGCTAAGTAAGTTGTGCTTCTGTGATAACATTTACAATAAAATCTTGGTACCTCAAATCTCTAGGGATTGGACAAAAAATTGGAGTTATCCGAAATTCAAGTTAAAAGAAGGTCCCCATTTCTTTTGAAGTTAAGTCATTGTTACGATGTGTATCATAACATGTACCTATACGCTGAAGCACAGTTACCGTAAATCTCCCTACGATGACTTTTGAAATGACATTGTGATTATTTTATACTTTGGTGCCACAAGTTTTTGTTCATAGAAAGACATTTTTGCGGAGGATTTTTGTTGTCAATCGCCTGATAAATAACACATTACATGTACTGTAAATCATTTAAACTGTGTACCTTTGTGTGGCAAATCTTTCTTTTGCGTTGTGCATGTGTAACGCATTGTGGTGGTCCCATTTCTGATACCGCAGCGCCTTGCACATACATACTCGGGCGTGGTTTCCCGATGAGTCAGACGACTTTTTTCATCACGAGGGCGCACCTTTTTGCGCTTGAATAAAATTTTGTAAAAGCAAAAATGCTATTGTGTCTGTTTTTATGTTTTGTCCTTCGTTCATTATTTTCAAACTTTTGTTTATTTCTTGAAGTGAGATTTGGCTAGGCAAAAGCTCTGCATTGCAGTCACGTGGTTGGTCCACTGCACATGAGCATGCTGTGGTTTGTGGCTCTAATTGGGCAGCCATCGCACAGGCGTGTGCGGCACAAAGATCTCCAATGCATTGCCACAGCCACCGCAAAGAGCCATCAGTTGGCCTGCCAATGCACGGGCTACAATGGGCCCACGGTAACAATTCCTGGAAGTCGGATTTTGCTGTCACGGTGTGGTTACGTGTTTAGATCGATCATCATTGTAGCGCGCTTGCAAGTGTTCTGGTGTGAAGAGAAGAAGTGTGTGTGTCAGAAATGATTCATAACTAGACCAGCATTCTGTTTACACTTTCTGGAAGTATTTTAGCGGCGCTTTCTTTTGGATCTGCTACACAAAAACTTTGAGGTAAACAAATCCAGCAACGTGAGCAGTTTGACTTACGGATATGTTTTTGGAAACATAAAAGCCTATTATTTCAGCGGGAATTAATTATTCTTCGAGTTAAGCGGAGTTTTGAGTTAACTGACTTTGAGTTATCGAGATTTTACTGTGCATGTAATCTAGCTGGTGACCAGGACAAAACCTTGGTTTGGAAGGTTTGAGGATGCATTCATCCTGTGCCAGACCCAACTCAAGTTAAAATCTTGCTCGTGGTACACTAAGCTCAACGGGAACTCTTAAAATTTGTCACTCATAATGTCGAGCTTTTCAAAGGCCAAACTCTGTGGCACATGAAAAACAACCCACTCAGCGGCTCATTCCATTGATGGGGGAAACCAAGAGAGGAAAGCAGAACCAGCATCTAGTTTTGGCATCGAAAAGTCAGGCCACACTCAGTCAAAGCAGGGCCTTTGGCCTTTGTTTAATGCCTTGCTTTGACCGATGGACTTTCGTCTACCCGTCTCAGATCTGTCCTGGCATTGTTCCCACTGAATTAACTGCAGCAGTTACCTTTGCTCAGACAAAAGTTCTTCCTTCCCAGTTAACAAAGGGAAGAAGGGCGTGTGTCTATCTATTCAGCTGTTCAGGTTTTGCCCATTGTTACATTGTGCAAGTTACCTGCACACTGACAAATGGAACTGAGAAATAACCATATAGACTGGCTTAACCACTTGCTGCCGGGTGCTTTGAAAAATGCTGTGCATAAATATGGGAGATTTTCAAGATTTTCAGATTTTTTAAAATTCTTTAAAAATTCATCATTTCAAGTAATGCACATTTACACCCACACGAAAGACTGTTTGGTGGCTACTCTAAGCTGACAGGTACCTTCATCAACTCCTGAGTATTTCAGCCAGGCCTGCTGCCCTGTAAAGAGAGCCCAGAATTGAGAAGGTGTTGCGTACACGTAAGTTCCTTTGTCCCCAGTGAACACTAATGGCATCTTTTCAAACCCAGCTGGATTAGCATGCAGCAGTGCTGTGTCACTCATCAATAGGGCCCTGGAGCACTTTTGTCCACGGTGCTTATCCGTGGGTGCACAATGCCCAAAACAGTGGTATACTGTTTAGAAACAGTGAAAGATTACCTATGAAAAATGCAAGTCAAAAAATGATGGCAATTCCCAGCAGCAGGTCTTTTGTTCCGAGTACTGTCTTTTGTTAAATGGACCAGCTCTTTTGTCCAATTTCCGGCAGCCCGGCTCTGCGTATAAACCCAGGGCACTCGAAAGTGGGGTTCCCTAGCAGCAAGTGGTTAAGGTGGGCAGGACTTAAATCTGGCCAGGCCATGTAAAGGGGGTTGAGGCCTGGATTTACTGTATCATCTGAATTGTAAAGCAGTTCATGGTTAATCAAAAGGAAGATCATAGGCCCGAAGGTTGAAGCTTTGCTCGGATTTTTCAGTGCCGAAGCAACACCTCTCGTTCCAGTTCCTCCCTGGTCCATATTGCAGGATCAGACTGGCTCACACACTGAGAAAGATTAGGGGGAGATTTAGGAATAGTTTTTGACAAGATAATGCAATGAGCCAGACCTATTGGCCTGCCCCATTCACGGACTCTACCTTGCGCAGCTTGAGCCCCAAGCCTGCTCCGGCTGCCCCGATGAACTCAATCTCCCCATAGGCGTTGGTGGCACTGGTGTGGGTGTGCGTCTCCACCTTCCACTTGGCCTTAGGGTCTGGGTTGTTAAGGAAGCGATCATCGTGGTCCGACTTGCGATTGCCACACTGGCACTTGGGATCATCCGGACTGAAAGGCAGACAAAGAGTTTCTTGTTATGGGGGGGGGTTGAAGTTAATATCACCCATTTTTCCACACATAATTCTTAGCTGTCCTGTTGGTCTATCTTTTTTGTCTTGTACATAATTCAGATTACTGAATATTTATAAATTTCAATAACATTTTTATTGTACATAGCCTAGGTATTTTGTTCATTTTCATTTTTATACATGGATATACTTTGATATTTGTGTTTGTATACATATTTATCTTCAATGGTATATATTTGTTTCAATGTACAA